TCCCACCACGGTCCCACTCTCCCCACTCCCCCCTCTGCCCCCACGGCCCCAACCACCGTCCCATTGTCCCCAGTATCCCACTGTCCCACTGTCCCCGCCGCTGTCTCACTGAGCTGTCCCACTGTTCCCACCACTGTCCCCACCACTGTCCCCACCACCACTGTCCCATTGTCCCACCGCCGTCCTCGCCACCGCCCTCACCACTGTCCCCACCACCACTGTCCCCACCACTGTACCACTGTACCCACCACATTCCCACTGTCCCCACCACCACCGTCCCCACCACTGTCCCAGAGTCCCCACCACTGTCCCACTGTCCCCACTGTTCCCACCATTGTCCCCGCTGTCCCCACCAGTGCCCCCACCAGTGTCTCACTGTCCCCACTCTCCCCACCACTGTCCCACCACGGTCAAAACTCCCCCCACTTTCCCCACTGTCCCCACCACTGTCCCCACTATCCCCACTGTACCCACCACTCTCCCCACTGCACTACTACTGTCCCACCACTGTCCTCAACACCGCCCTTCACCACTGTCCCCACCACTACTGTCCCCACCATTGTCCCAGTCCCCACCACTGTCCCGCTGTCCCCTCACCACTGTCCCCACCACCACCGTCCCCACCACTGTCCGCACCACTGTCCGACTGTCCCCGCACCACTGTCCCCACCACCACCGTTCCCACCACTGTCCCACTATCCCCACCATTGTCCAACTATGCCGAAGAGCGGGAATCGCTTGCCGGCGGCGAGGGGGGGGAAGGGGGTGGAGAGGGTCCAGTGCCCTCCACTGTCGCACTGTTCCCACTGTCCCCACCACTGTTCCCACCACGGTCCCACTCTCCCCACTTCTCCCACGGCCCCAACCACTGTCCCACTGTCCCCAGTATCCCACTGTCCCACTGTCCCCTTCCGCTGTCCCACTGAGCTGTCCCTCTGTTCCCACCACTGTCCCCACCACTGTCCCCAACACCACTGTCCCATTGTCCCACCGCCGTCCTCGCCACCGCCCTCACAACTGTCCTCACCACCACTGTCCCCACCACTGTACCACAGTACCCACCACATTCCCACTGTCCCCACCACCACCGTCCCCACCACTGTCCCAGAGTCCCCACCACTGTCCCACTGTCCCCACTGTTCCCACCATTGTCCCCGCTGTCCCCACCAGTGCCCCCACCAGTGTCTCACTGTCCCCACTCTCCCCACCACTGTCACACCACGGTCCCGCTCTCCCCACTTTCCCCACGTTCCCCACCACTGTCCCACTGTCCCCACTGTACCCACCACTCTCCCCACTATCCCCGACGCTGTCCCACTGTGCTGTCCCACTGTACCCATTGTCCCCACCACTACTGTCCCCACCAATCTCCCCACTGTACTACTGTCCCACCACTGTCCTCACCGCCACTTTCACCACTGTCCCCACCACCACTGTCCCCACCACTGTCCCACTGTCCCCACCACTGTCCCGCTGTCCCCTCACCACTGTCCCCACCACCACCGTCCCCACCACTGTCCGCACCACTGTCCGACTGTCCCCGCACCACTGTGCCCACCACCTCCGTTCCCACCACTGTCCCAGTATCCCCACCATTGTCCAACTGTCCCGAGGAGCGGAAATCGTTTGCCGGCGGCAAGGGGGAGGGGGTTCGAACCAGTAGTGACTCCCCCAGGTTCTTTGGGGAGGGGGGGGTTCGAACCAGTAGTGAATCCATGTTCGAACCAGTAGTGAACCCCCCACGGTTTTCGGGGGGGGGGGGGACGGGTTGGGAACGCCCAGTGACCCCCCTCGGTTTTCCGCCAGCAGCGGTAGAACACGCTCTTTCATATGTGAGGGCACCAGGGCCCGAAACAGGGCGAAACCGCCCGTTGTAGAAAGGCAAGTGTCACGCCTGGATCTCAGGGCCTCCCGGGCTGTCCGCCCCCGCTGCCGCCGCCGCGACGCGCGGAGAAGGCGGAGCCCGGCGGAGGACCCCCCGGCGAGAGGCCGCGCCTACCTGCAGAGCCGCTCGCCGAGCGCGCGGCGGCCGAGGCCAAAAACCGGGCGAACACGCCCGCTGAGAACGCTGTCGGCGCCGCCGGAGGTAGGAGGTCAAGCAACCCCCAGAGAGAAAGGGAAACTGCATGGACCATAAACTTTCAACGCTCCGCGCGGACCTCCCTCGTTGGCACGCGGAGCGCGCCAGGGGCGGCGCCGGAGGCGCCGCCAGAGGGGTCCAACGCCGGAGGCGTCGCCAGAGGGGTCAAAGCTTATGTTTACGCAGTTGCTTCTGCTTCAATTCCAGAGGCCGAGCCAGATCCTGACGAGAGCTGAGGTGACGAGGACGAGGCGCATCAGGCCCAGCGATTCGTTCCGTGGAGGAGCTCACCAACCAGGCTTGCGCCGCGGGTTGCGGCCAAGCCAGAGCATGATGATCCCGAGCCGAAGCCGAAGGTGCAGGTCCAGGTGAAAGCATCCGATGCATTGAACGGCTACAGTTTTGTGCGCCACTGCTGGAGCATGGAACCTCCACGGTGAGACCAAGGAGGGCCGCCGTTCACAGCAGCACAAGAGGCTCGTCTGCGAGAAAGGGACCAGCCTTGGTGGGTACAGGTAGGCGACGAGTTCGAAGAATGAGCATCTTGCTGGGGTCGATGCTGACGCATGGTGAAGCTCTGGAGGCCTCTGGAAGCCGAAGAACGTCTTCGAACCTGGACCCTAGATCCTGGAACCTGGAACCTGGAACATCGACCCTCGTCCGCAGAAGCTGCAGCACAGGCTGGAGAGGGTTTTCGGGAGTCCACGACCGCTGGCGACGTGAAGAGCGTCGTCCTGCCCAAGCCTGCGAGGCAGCTCGCCGCATGCAGCTGGCCTGGCCTGAGGAACGCAACTGCGGAGCGCGGCGGAAGACTGTGCTGGAGGTCCTGGGCCCTCGCCTTCTCTTGGGCTCCTGCCGAGCTCGGGGACCCGGCCAGAGAGCGCATGTTCCCTGATGATCGGGAACCTCCACTCCCCCTGTCCCTCCCTCCTCCTCCTCCTCCTCCTCCTCCTCCTCCTCCTCCTCCTCCTCCTCCTCCTCCTCCTCCTCCTCCTCCTCCTCCTCCTCCTCCTCCTCCTCCTCCTCCTCCTCCTCCTCCTCCTCCTCCTTCCCCTCTTCCGTCTGCATGGGGCCTGGCTCCTCGGAAGGGTCAGGGACGGGGGAGGAGGAAGGGAGGACGGAGCATGGGAGAAAGTAGGAAAGACATGAGGGAGGGGCCCAAACCGCCCTCCCTCCGCCCCTCCAATTTCCCTCCACTTTTCCCTCTCTGGGGCCTTCCGCAACACTGGACCCACCAAGAGCCCCCCAGAATTCCTGGAACCTGCCCTGAGACTCCGAAGATCTCCCAGAGACCCCTGGAGCCCACCATCAGCTCCCCTCGTCCGATTCCCGATTCTTCATCCTGGGAAACGAGGTGGGGACAAGGGGGAGGACTCGATCGAACGGCGGTATGGCTGAGGGAAAGGGAGGGGGGGGGAGGAAGAGTTTCAGGGTGGCTCCACGGGGCAGATGGGCAAAAAGGCAGGCGAGCCCAGAATCGAATCTGGAAGTCAAATCGGCGATCGGCATGAATCGGATCGGCGGAAATATGCAGCCGAGTCAAGAGAAGTCGAATCGGCGGAAATCGGCAGTCTACTAGGCCTCCATTGAAGAACATAATTCCATATATCGGAATCCGAAATCAAATCGAATCGGAGTCGGAAGCCATCAAAATCGAATCGAATCGAATCAAATCGGAGGAACCGACCCGAGCCCTGTAAGGAGGAAAGGACCCAATGGGAAGGACAGGGGGGGGCCCTGGGGTTCCGTGGAGACCCCGCAGGGGCTCCGCGGAGATCCCTGGGGGCCCCCAAAGACGCCCCGAGAGAGCCCCCAGGATGCCCCCCGACGACGACACCAACGACGACGACGACGGCGACGATCCAGTGTTCTCGTCAGGGCCCCCTAAACGGAGATTTTGATTGATCCAGACACTGGCCCGCCCGAGAAACTGCAGCCGTGGTCCAAACGTCCTCTGTTCTGTCCCTCGCTCCAGGTGGGAGTCTCAAGACCCTGGTTAGCAGTGCCCTAGTTCAGGGGGCCCTGGATGCGTGGCCATGATATGCCCGCCTATGCGGGCGGGCTGATATCCATGTCCACCACTCCTCGAGATTCCAGGGCACGACTCCGAGGCTGTGGATATGAACACCTTCCAGCGGTGGACTGAAGGCGAGCGGCGTCGGCGGAGCCGGGCACGAGACCACTGAGGGCAAACGATAGGGGGGGGAGTGGCAGAAGGGGGAATACATCGACCTGGCGTCGGCGATACATCGCCGATATGCCCCCGATAGCCAATCTGCACGTTCCTGGTAGGGGTGGGGCTCTCAGACCCCTATCCGCGATCCACAGGCGATTGGGGGTCGATGCATCCCCCACTACTGCTCGAGCCGATCCCCCTCCCGGAACACCCTCGGCGAGGCGCAGCTGCTGGAGGGCATCCCGAGAGTGGAAAGCCGACGAAAACTGACGGAAACGCACAGGAACCTCAGTTCTCGAACCTCGAAGCCCCTCCTATCGTTGCCCCTGAGCTCCTCCGGCCAGGTCCTCCTATCGTCGGGGGCGTCCAAGAGGGAGGGTCGCAAATCATGGCTCGAGGCATGTGCGCGACCCAAAGGGGGCGGGGGGGGGACGTACGGAAATAAGAGGCGCCATGAAAGCCGGGAAGATATCATGGCCCTGGCCACCCCCCCCCATTCCTCACCCCTCTTGGTCGCCCCCGATATCACTGCCCCTGAGCCACGCGCGCACGGGCCCTTTTCCTTCAGATTTGCGTCGTATACATACCACAACCCTCCCCGCCACAGTCAGATTCCACCGCCCAGGGCCACTCTCAGTATAAACAAAGCCCCCGGGCGGGAACCTTGAATACCAGACCCATGACCAGGACCCTCGCCCACTCCCCAGGGCTCCTGGGCACAGTATGCAAACTTTTCGGGCGGGCCTGAGCCAGGCGCGCGCGGGCCCTTTGCTCTCGGCAGCGCCGCTCCGGCGCGCCAGGAGCACCGCACCTCTGGGCGGAGCCGCGCATACGAGGCCCACAGAGCGGCCCAGCCAGGCGGTCGCCGCCCTGCCCTGCCCAGTGGTTCGTTGGAGGGTGGGGGACCTGGGCTACACACAAGAGTGACCCTGGTATCCGCGAGGCCCCTGGCCTTTCTGCTCGCCCTCCTCCCTCCTCCTCTTCCTCCTCCTCCTCCTTCTCCTCCTCATCCTTCGGCTCCTGCTCCTGCTCCTGCTCCTCCTCCGCCTCCTCCTCCTCCTCCTCGTCCTACCTACTTTTTATATATATATATATATATATATATAACTCCTCCCTGTGGCAACCCGAGTCCGGTCGAAAAGGCAAGCCGCGCGACTCGCCTGAGACTGAGACTTCCTCACCCACGTATGACCCTGATGCTTGAAAGTGACACCAGCCTCACAGATGGAGGGCGGGTGGTGTTCAAAATGTGTCTCTCGCCTTAGGGCCGCGCACATTCATTGCACAATTTTGTAAGAACTTCACATATGGAGGGCGGGTGGTTTTGAAAATCTGGCCCTCGCCTTAGCGCAGCGCACGTTCGTTGAAAAGATGCAAGAGTTTCACGGATTGAGGGCGTGAGGTTTTGAATATGTGGCTCTCGCCTCTGGCGCCGCGCATATTCGTTCTAAAACGTTGAAAGAGCTTCACGGATTAAGGGCGGCTCCTGTTCAAAACATGGTTCTCTCTTTTGCGCCGCGCACACTCGCTTAAAACCTGGCAAGAGTTTCACGGGTTCTCATGGTTGGCGTATCAAAAGAAAGGTGTTTTGGACGGCTTCAGGACAGTCAGGGCGCAATCGTTACGAATATTCGCGGTGTTGGTCCCAGGATTCCGGCGTTCTGGCACGATTCAGAATCAGAATCGCCAGCACGTAACAGTCAGGTTAACTCGTGACGTTGAAGTCTTGAGAATGCTGTTTGGGCACGCTTCAAGATGTTCGCAAAGTTGTCCCCAAACGGGACCATTCCTCAGTGGAATGACCCCTTGTAGGGGCCTATAAAGAGGGATCTTGGAGGGAGGGTGTATTTCAACATCACTGATGAGTCTTAGGTTTACACTGGTCCTCCTCATCCTCCTCCTCCTCCTCCTTGCTCCTCTTCCTCCTCCTCCTTCTCTTCTACCTCCTCCTCCTCTTTCTGCTCCTCATCCTTCTCATCCTCCTCAAAGAGTGCCCCTTGGTGCGCGGCTTTTTGAAGGCCGCCGGGGGCCGCCTCGGCTACACGCACAAGAGTGGCCCTGGGTACCCGTCGGTCGGAAGAAGTGGATAGAAACATGGGGTAAGGAGGCGTTGAAATAGATCGGGCTTCCGTCCGCCACCTGCAAAAGAAAGGAAGAGGGAAAACCGCTCGACTCTTGAAGTAGAAGGGCGCCGAACGTACATTGGGATCTGGGCATCCAGAACAACATACTTTGACTGGTTGTAAGAGTGACCTCTGGTGCGCGGTTTTTTGAGGGCCGCGGGGAGGCCAACAAACAAGCGCACACGACGCTACTGTCGCGCCGCACTCGGCGACCGGGGGTTTCCAGTGGGCGCGCACCGAAGGTCACTCTAGAGAAAGGTCACTTGCCCGCTGGGCGCTGAAAAATGAAGACTGTCTGCGCTTGCGCCTGCAACATGTTGCGGAGCTAAGCGGCCTGTTGCAATTGGCCGAACGGCCCGTACGCGGGGACACTCTGTTGACACGGTTAGCCGGCTCACAAATTTTGGGTTCAAGACAGGGGGGGCGAGAAGGGCGTGAAGCAGAGGAGCAGAAGGCTGCACAAACAGAAGCATTCGGAGATCGGTGCGGATTTCGATGTTTTGGGTTGCCGCTGGACCCCCTTCCGCCCTGCCCTGCTCCGAGCCGATGGGAGGGGGGCGGGGGAACGTGGAGGGAGGGCCTGAAGCTAAGGAACAAAAAAGGAACATAACAAAACTGATTAACTATAAGAGAGAGCGTGATCCACCGCCGCTTTACTGTGGAAAATTTCCCCCCCCTCTTCCTCCAGAGCCCGGGCCTTCCCCCCCTTCGAAAATCCCCCCCCTTGCTGGACCCCCCCCATCCCCGGCAAACCCTCCCCCCCCCCCCAATCCATACTTCCTATGATGAAACACCCCCACATCCCCACCGAGCCGGCCGATAGCAACCCCGCCGTCCCAACTGTTAAAAAACAACGCAAAATCATTGTTCCTCGCCGACACGCCGTCGAGTTGCGAACAGTGTAGCACCCTGGGACGGCATGAACATCGTTTGGGTAACGGGAAGCGGGTGGTCGCGCCCTACCCATCAAAAAATTACCCTGGCGACGTACCCAACCCCTGCGCAAACGCGGGGCGCAAATAGTTTAGGACACTTTATAAGGGGGGCGATGACGGAGCGAGGGTTACATATGTCTGCAGACGGAATTCGGGAGACTCGCAGGACACTGGCTTCAGGACAAG